GGATTAGGGTGAGAGTTATAATGTGGTTCACCAGATACTGATACCCAAGCTTGACATACTTGAGCTTGACGGAGGTGGAGAAATCCGGCGAGATGGGAGGCATTTTGGAAAGCAGAACAACAGAGTATGAGATGTAATAGAGAGGAAGGAAGAAGACGAGAGATATAAAGAGGAGGAGGAGGAGGAGGAGGAGGAGACGGGCAATGAAGAAGGCAGATGAGGCGATTAAATGAAGCACTTCACGTCACTCAACGCCCACTTAACCTTTTCTTTTTTTCTTTTTTTTTTCTTCTTTTTCAGTTCACACTCAACTTTTATATTGAATCCCTCGTAATTCCACGTGATATCGACATAATACATGATATCAACATATTCATAATAACATCAAAATTCGACAATTTAGATTAATATTAATAAGAAGAAAGTTACCCTCTTTTTTCTTTTTCCCTTTTGAACTACTTTGTGGGAGTATTCAAAACTTTCACATGCTAATTCATGTATATCTTCCTTTTCCTTTTCCACTCTGCTTTTGCATCTATTAATATTTACTATTTATATAAACTCCTTTTAATTCCATTTTCAAATATTTTAATTTTACCAACTATTTTATTAAATTCTTATTTTCATTTTAAAACACTTCATTACCTTCCGAGTTTTAAAATTTAAAACAAAAAATTGAGTTTTAGCATAATTAGATAATCATGTGAATATTTATTTTTAATTAAATTGTTGAGATATATTTTTATTATAAATAATTCTAAATGCAGTTTGACAGCCCAATAGGATAGATGTTTAAATTTTCATTGCCACCTATTGAACTAGAAAAGCTAAAATGGTGGACGGCTTGGCTTAATTAATTGCTAATAAATTTTTTTTAATGAATGAATCGCATATCTTCACAATTTTACTTACTTTAATTAACTTTCCTTCTTTATTTAAAAAAAAAAAAAAGATTCGGATATAAATTAGTTTAACTAGTTTTAGATACGTATATTATACAAGAAGTCACGTGTACAACTAAAAAGATATGCCCACCAACTACCTATCAAAGACGATCATAAATAATCAGTTTTTAAAATAAATATTACCTTTTTTAAAAAAATAAATAAATATGACACTTAGTAAATGTATATTATTTGGATTTGAGAATGAATACACGTGGTTATTATTATTTGAATTGGAGGCAGTAAAACTATAGAAAACATTATTACATTTATTGTATAATATGGATCATTTTATTTTACTCAAAATTTGTATACGAGTGTAATGCGGAAAGATGGATATAAAACAAATGTTTGTTACTTGTCATTTTCACGATAATTTATGCAATAGACGTGGGAAATACTTTCACTATTAACTATTAATTAATATTCATTTTAGTCGATATACACCATTCAATTTTAACTAAATATATATAATGGAAATGTCGATTTGAATCGAGTTGAGTGAATAATACATCAATTATAATTTAAATGAATCCCATTCAATTATAACTTAAGGTTCGGTTTCAATTTTATAAGAGGTATATAAACCGATAACTGGATGAATTAAATAAATGACCATATTCCATAAATGGATGAATTAAACGACATCATACACCGTTGTTTGATTGATTATGAATATTTATAAATTTAATTCCAAGTTTGAATCATATTATTTGGATGGTGTTGAGAAGAGAGATTCTTTTATATTTCTTGTCGTGGCAAACCTAATTCTCCTGTTTATTATATGAGTGCGTAACCAAAAGAGAAAGAGAAAGAGAGCATGAAATGAGATCCCACGTTAGTTAGGTAGGAGAAGGAAGTATTTTTTATAATGAACCAAAGCGGATAATATATACTAGCGACGGACCAAGGGTCTTACAAGTGTAGGTTTGGTTTTAGAGGGCACTAACTAAAAAAAGAAAAAAGAAAAAAGAAAAAAGAAAACAGTGGAAACAATTAACATATATGGAAGAAAAGAAGAATAATTTTAAAATTTATTAATTTAAATTATAAGAAAAATGATAGTAAAAAATATTGTTGGATTTTGATTGGAAAACTGTTGAAGGTAGAGCTTTGGATTTAGAAGCAGTTGACTTTTTTATGATGTTTTTATGACATTAGTGAGGATATACAACTAAAAATCAACCAAATATTAAATGTGCACTAAAAGACAAGGGAGAATCACAATCCACTTAAATGTCTGTTTGTTTGTTTGTTTTTTTTTTTTTTTTTTTTTTTTAATTTG